GCTCTTATGTTAAATAGTTTTTGAGTTCTAAGTATTTTTGTACTTTATGTCCAGACACCTGTTTTTCAGATGGAGCAGTGTCGGTCAGACACATCTACAATTCTCCCAAAGTTCATGCTACTAAATACATCCCAAAATTTTATTGTTTTGGGTGCAGGGGGTGCTCATTGGTGGGCCCAATGGTTAGCCCTTCATCAGAGCTAAACAACAAAACAAATTTGAAGCTCCCATGTTGAATAGTTTTTGAGTTAAAAGCATTGTCGTATGTACAGACACCCCCTTTTCAGATGGAGCCCCTTCCCTTAATTTGGGGTCTATTTTAAAACCATCGGCTGGTGCAGTGTAGGTCAGACACATCTGCATTTCTACCAGATATGTTGATTGGTGCAGCCATTTCTGGGCTACAGGTTGACCATAAAATCTTGAAAACAAAAACAACCAATAAACAGTACAAAAACAGTATGACGACTACGCATGCGGAAAGGTGGTGGTGGTGGCGGTGGTGGTGTGTGTGTGTGTGTGTGGGGGGGGGGGGGTGTCATAATTAATACATACATAAATTTACAGTAAAAAGTAGCAACATTTGAAGGGATGCCTTTTACCTTGTGCCTCGCATGACAGTTTGCAGTGGATTAGGAGGTTGTTGGGGGGTTTGATCCCCAGCTCCTGTGTGTGCTGAAGTGTCCTTAGGCAAGACACTGAATTCACCACTTCCCCTGATATTCTTATTAGTGTATGAGAAAGATATTTAAAAGTGCTCTTTATGGTGTGTAAAAAAAACTCTGACCAAAAATTATGAATGCACATACATGAATGTGAGCAAGTGTGCGTATGAATGAATGAATGAGTGAGAAACACTGGAAAGTGCTTCAGATTGGCGTGCATGGACAAAAAGACACATTTGATCGATTGACAGCTGTTTCAGTTTAGGCTGTTTGGAAGAGAAAGGCCAACAATGAGGAAGATTTGTGACTGAATTAGGCTGCAACTCAATGAAAAAAAAAAGGTTTTGAAAACTTCAATAACCAACTAAAATGTTTCAATCTATCTATTATGAGTAACATTTTGTCTTGCTGTATTTTGTTTGTTTAACACAAATTTTGTAGAAAAAAAAACAGGGACTGCAGGAGGCCAATTAGGGAAACAAAACAGTAAACACAATTTCTGTAAATACTTCTTTTCAAAACATAATTTCTCACTGCCTCTGTGTTCAGTAAAAGTGGTAAACACAGTCTGAGTTCCTTTAGCTAAACAAAACCAGTCCTCTGAGGCTTTAACAGTTGGAACAGTCAACTAATCACATTTTGATGTTTTTGTTTGTGATCTTTAATTGTTAGTTTGTTTTAATCCAATTAAATATATATTGTTTTATGTAAAATTAAAGAGTAACTTTTCCTTTGTAGACCACTGAACTCATTATTAAAGTAGGATGAGCCAAGTTGTGAAGCTCTGGTAGGCAGTTTGTCAGTTCCTATTAATAGTCAATCTTTTCTTTTCTTGCTTCTCTTTAAAGCTGAAGGAATGAGCTTGTTAGGCAGCGTGAGAAACACACACAGTAAAAGAAAAAAAACCCCACAAAACAGCCATTTAGCAGCTGTGTTTTTTTTCTTCTGTGCCACCTGAAAATCGCGCCACTGGCTCGTCTCCTCGTGTTTTTGTCAGCTGCTACGCCTGTTTTTCCACTCATCCCCTCTCACTTCCTCTCACTCACTGTAACTCAAAAATAATAGGAACCAATTATGTAAGTTGGTAGCGCTGTAATCATGTTACATGTTTTTTTTTGTTTCTGATGTTTTGAATGCTTGTCGTATTTGGATCAAAATGTCACTTTTTAATCACACCCATAATTACTTTTCTCTTCAGATTAAATTCTTCTATTCAAGGGAGAACATTCCATTCAGAAGCAATTGGATGAGAGTCTCATTAGCCGTCGGCAACTAAAGATGATGTTACCATGGAAACAAATTGTTCTGCTATCAATCACCGGATGCCTTGCAGGTAAGACATCTTAGTGCGTATTGTATTTCAGTCTCACTACACTGCATCTTGATGTCACGGCTGAAGTCACCAGAACATTTCTCCTAAACATGTTCTGTCTGGAGTACATTCATTACAGATGATTACTTTGGCTATTCATTTTTCTATAGTCACACAAGCTGAATGTTTGTCTCATTAACAAGATACATTTTCCCCCCTATAATATGTTTTAGCGATGAGTCAGCAAAAAATGTTAATGATCTTAGAAAATGAAAGGTTGTACTGATTAGGCTTCAGTAACTAAACACACACGTTACAGTTCAGTGGGATGTCCTTCACCAGTCTGCTGTTCTGCTGCACATTTAGAGAACACTATCCAGGACAACTGGGACTTCAATCCTGTCCCTGTTTATGGCCTATCCAGATCATTATCAGGATCCATGCAATGAATCCAGCTTCGGATTTTAGCACAATCTACTTTCCACCGTGCCTCGATCTGCCCTTGCGCAGCCACCTGGGATTCGAGCAGGGGAGGCACAGGCACTCCACCAGAATGTCAACCCTTGTTCAAATGACATTGTGGCTCCCAGTGAATGTTATTCAAATTGGCTCCTGGGATTAATTCACATGCTGCGCCCCGAGGGAGACGGATCCAAGCAGTCTCACCTTCCTGGCGGACGAGTGTGCTTAGCAGGTCCTCGGTCTCTGCCGTGGGTGCTAGTTTTTTTTTTTTTTTTTTTTTTTTGTGTTTGGATTGGGAGATGGTAGCACCTAAAAACAGTCATTATCAACAGCTAAAGTGGCATTTTGCTCGGGAACGACTTCAAAGAACCACACTGACATCATAAAGGTTGGGGCGTTTTGGTTACATTCACACAGAGACACTGGCGAACTCAGCGTCTGAATACATTTGATGCAACACTGGAATTTTTTTATGCATTTATTCATTTCCATACTCTTATACATTTATTTAAAAAATAGCACAATAAAAAAAATGAATTTTGGTCCAACTAGAATTTGAAATCACATTAAAAGGAGTTCATGAAAAATGATGCTTACATTAAAATTTAGTACAGTAGTAAATAGCAGGGTTATAAC